GCAGCTCCGTGCTCTCCACACCCCGGCCAGGAATCCTGCGCTGGCCGTGCCAGGACGGCTCCAGGTGTGGGAAAGGCGCTGCAGCCCCTCCGTGCCGGCAGGGCCGGTGCTCTCGCTCCATCACCGCTGAAAAATGCCACATTTGGGGACGACATCCGTTCCACACACCGCAGCCAAAGCAACCTGGGGTGAATCACGGCCAGGACGGAGCCAGGCTCGCTTCATGGGACATGGCAGCGCCGCCGCAGGCTTTGGAGACCATGGATGCTTACGCACTTGTTTGTCTGATCCTGGAAGGTTTCTCGGGCCCACGAACTATTCACAGCACACACACCACAGCCAGATTGTCATCTGCAACCACTTCTGGCAGCACCGTGAGCGGGAGCAGCGTGCCAGGCCCACAGCTGTGCTCCACGTGGGCTCAGCGAGCCTCCCCCTGCACCTGAGGCAGGCAGCCTGCCCGGGGTGGGCTGGAGGGGTGACACAGCCCCAGGGCTCTCTGGCTTCACTCTGCAGCCCAGGCTGGCCCTCTGTGAGCCCCACTGCAGAGGGGATGTGCTCGGAGGAGGCACAGACAACGGGCAATGGGAACAGCCATGAAAGCAAAGCAGCTCTGCCAGAGGTGCCCCCCTGTCTCCACACAGCAGGGCCTGTGCCCCACCTGCCCCATGGCTGGGGCTCTGGCACACGGCAGTGTTGGGGTGCTGCCACCGTTCCTGCCTGGCAGCCTGAGTTGTGCAATGGCTGCTCAGGGGACAGTCAGGTTTACTTTGCAAGAATGCTTGAACAAAACTACACCCCTGAAGGCAAGTTAGCAGCCAAAGGCAATATCTGCAGGGAAAACTGAGAAACACCTTGGGACCAGCCTGGCTCTGCTCACAGCCAGAGGAAAAGTCTACAGAGAACAAACACCATGGCTCAGAGCCAAGGTGCAGCCAGTGAGGAGTCAAGTAGAGTGCTCTGAGCAGCAAATATCAAGTGAGCAGGAGATCCCAGCCTCAGCCCAACATCCTGTTATTTGGTCTTCAAGAGCAGATCCGAGGACTAGATTAGGGCTGTGGTACTCCTGGTAGAACGCTGGGGAGGAGCAGAGCCCAGACACTCTGCTGACAGCACCCCGGGGCACAGCACAGTTTCCCTAATTTCTCAATCAGATATCTCCCTCGCTAATTAAGGCTTGGAAAAAAGCCGTCTTTTCCTGTACATCATGTATTGCAGGTATTTATTTTTCCCCCACATAATGAAATGTGCTTTGATCGTGCTGTGCAGCAGCCAGCTCCAGGGCTGCTCCATTCCAGGGCTGCATCTGTCCCAGCTGCTTCAGGCACGTGGGTCCTCAGCACGTCCCCAGGCCCCGTCCTGTGGTCAGCAGGACACACAGATGCTGGCCCAGCTGTCCTCAGCTCCAGAGGAACTTCTCAGGAAGATAAAACACATGTAAAGAGATCCCAAGCTGGAGAAGGAGCAGAACAGAGGCTGTCCCTTGCCCGTCCCCAGCACCTGTGGTCCAGCCCAGCCAGTGACAGCCAGGTCCATCCCCTGGGGGCTCTCCTTTCAGCAGATGGGGCTGATGTGCCCTGCAGTGGGGTGCCTGCCACCTCCCCAGCCACTCTGAGGTCACTCAGCACTGGGGTCACCCAGCCCCGCTATTTCTGGTGGCTGGAGCTGTCACACCCTGCTGGGTCACACCCCAGCTCCTGGAGTCCCCTGCAGAGCTGGCCATGGGTTTGAGAAAGGGTTTAATTTAACCACAGGCTCCATGGGTGCCTGCCATAGCCAGCATTATTCCTCAGCATCCCCTGGTGTGCCTGCGGCTGGGCAGCACGTGGTGCTGGGAAGGAGACGATGGCTGAGGCCACCAGAGCCACCCCTGCTGCCCCCAGCCCTCCATCCTCGCTCCCAGCTGCAGTGTNACAGTGCTAGTAACAACAGCCATTGTCAGGGCCGTTTGCTTTGGCAGGGCCCCTCGGCCCCGCCGCCCCCAGCGGATGGAAAGGGCCTCTCACGGCTCACTCCCGCTCCCGCCCGGCCCCTTCCTCCACCACCTTCGTGCCCAGCCTGCAGGGACGAGATAAGGCCCCTTGCAGCCCTTCCCAGGCTGTGGGGTGACGTGGGACAGGGAGACCCCCTGGCACAGAGCAGCTCCCACACTGAGCAGCTCCATCCCCTCCGAGCCTCTCCGGGCCGTCCTGGAGCAGGAAGATCCTTGTAACTCCACCATCCTCAGCCCCTCCAAGAGCAGCAAACCTCAGGGGATGGAGAAACACAGTCCAGGGTGGCCAGAGGCTGCTCTGCCTTCCATCAGCCAAAGGAGTGCTCTGGAAATTGGGATGCTCCCTGTCACAGAGGCCTCCTGAAATCCTCACCAGCGACATTCTCAACTCACCAAGCCAGGTCTGCACAGAGCCTTTGTGCCAGGAGGGAAGTGCCTAAAGCCCAGAGCTGGCTGCACATCCAGCTTTGTGTGCTGAGGCCACCAGCCCCACCAGGGCACACAGCACTCATGGACAAGGTGCCACCAACACAACACAGTGCCCAGCTCTGCAGGAACGGGGGACAGACAGCACATACTGAGTGCTGAAGAGCCTGACAGCCACTGCCAGTGTGCCCAGTGCCACAGCTGATGGAGGAAGGTCTCCTGAGCCCATCAGCTGCTCCATGTGGCTCGTGAGCTCACCAGATCCCTGCCAGGCCTGCTTCAGGTTCTTCTGGAACTTGGGAACATTGCTGGGGTGGTGGGATGGGCATGCAGAACAGAAACCACATTTTTTCCATAGGAAATTGCAGCTAAAAATTAACATCTTAGGAAAATAAAGGTAATTTTGTGAGGTTGCTCAGTGTCCCAGCAGGCACATGCTCGGGGCAGGGCAGGGAGCCCGGGGCTCAGCCTGCAGCTCTGCCGGGCTGTGCTCAGCCCTGTGGTCCCAAATCCCTCCCAGCACAGGGCCCGACTTGCAAAGACGTGCTCAGCTCCCAGCACTTCCATCAGGCTCCCTTTCATCTTGGATCTTTTCATGTCTCCAGACGGGAGGCAGCAGGCAGGATCTTATTTATCTCAGACAAATTAAGGTCAGACCACCCGTTCAGATTTTTGCAAGATGGGAATTTTTGGAAAGGGGGAGGTGTTGCAGCGCAGCTGGAGCATCCTCTGGGCTATTCCCACGCCGGTAGCTCCACACTCGGCTCTGCTGCAGGCCCGGTGAGAGCCCCGATGNCCTCGCTGACCGCGGGCGGGTACACCTCGCCATCCACCACCTGGGGACACGGCAGTGACAGGGCACAAAGGGCAGAGGGGACAAAACATCCCAGTAAAACCTGCCCAGCCACGAGCTGCCTCCCTCAGAGCACCACATTGCTCTCCTGCAAGAGGTGAGTGAATGGGAACACCTCCCTCATACAGCCCCAAATGCCTGCTGCCATCTGAGCAGCTGCACCCCAAGGATTGTCCCCTGGCCAGCAGCCACGCAGGGCATCAGGGCTGGGGTCTGACAGGAGCTGCCAGAGGAACATGGGCTTCAAACAGCCCTGGCTCACTGGGCTGGGATGTGTTTCAGTTGTGCTGGGTGGTACCTGGAATTTCAGCTTCCCATCTCGGAAGAGTCGCAGCTGGTGCTGCCGCTGCAGGTTGTCCCCGTACAAATGCCCCAGGTCCACCTGTGGAGAGAGCAGGGCATCGAGGCTGCTCTAAGAGGCACAGGGACCCCAGCACCCCCTCACTCCTCACACCCTCACCCCATGTCCCAGAGCCTTGGTGAAGCCACGTCCCATCTTCCCAGATGTCTTGAAGAACTGGTGGGTGAAATGCTGGGCGAAGAAGGCAAACATCATGTTGGTGCCTCGGGGATCAGCCTCAAACTTCTGCCGCAGCAGGAACCTCTCTGCCAGGAGCTGGGGGTCAGGGAGCTGCAGCTTCCCTGCAAAGGATGGAGGCTGAGGGAAGACACCCAGTGCCCACCCAGCCAGGTACTGGTGCTGTGTGCAGGGCTGCTGGTGGTATCTGCTGCAGCATCAGGCCCAGGCTCCTCTGCACAGAGACCTTGCAGCCCTCTCACACAGGCTGTGACATGTCCCAGCAGCTCAGCCTGAGCTGTCCCAGCAGCAATCCAGATGCCATCAACCTCCTCCTGCAGCAGAGCCAGTCTGGGCAGGACAGGGACGGCACGTGGCACTGCCAGTGGTGCTTTGCAGATGTGTCCATGGCAGCCAAAGCCTGGCCATGGCTGGGAAACACTCGGGGTGTGGGTGCCTGGAGCAGCCACGTACCTTTGGTGCCCATGGGCGTGGGGCAGTCGTCCGGCACGGGCGGCAGCACGCGGGTGTAGTAGCTGACGTTGGCATAGGCCTCCCAGCTGATGTAGCCATAGTCAGAGTTGAAAGTGGGGGGGCTGGGGATGAGATTGGCACGAACTGAAAGGAGAGAGGGGGATCACCAGTGTGGGGATGGAGGCAGCAACCCACAGGCTCTGTCCCTGGTGCCTGCCCGGCTGCTCTGTGCTGCCACGCAGCTCCTGGCACCCCAAAAACCAGAAAGGTACCAGCAATGGAGGCATGTGGGTGTCCTGGGCTTTGCTCCGAGCCTTTTAAAGGCTGCAATTCCCTGCAGGAAAGGAGGGCTTGTGCTAATGTGCTAAGTGGAGTCTTGGATGATGGATGAGATGACAAACCCTCAGAAATGGTGAAGCCAACAGCCGGAGCCTCGCAAGCGTGTCGCTACAGCTCCAAGAGCTGGAACCTAAATATTTATGCAAAGTGATGAATATGGGGACATGAGTAACAAGGGCCATATTTCCATGGGCTGCTTTCTGTGCAGCTGTGAAACAGCTCCTTGGCCTAGGGAGTGCAGCATGCCACAAACTGCCCGTGTTTTCCAGCCAGCTGGCAGCTTGGCACCGTGCTGGGGACCCCCTACACCCCACTGCAGCCTGGCTGGCAGCTCCCCTGGGCACAGTGACAGTGTCACAGGGGGATGGAAGGACAGGGTGACAACCTTCTGGGTCTCCTGCTGAGATGACTCAAGCCCAATGCCCACCCTGCTCACAGGAGCTGCTCAGCATCGCTGCAGCCCTGCTATCCCAACCCACACATCTGTGCATGCCAGGGGGTCCTGCTGAACCCCAAGACCCTCTCCAAGCCCTCACCTGTCAGCACGAGCCTCATGAGCGTGTCCCTGATGAAGGTGCTGTTGATAATGTCCCAAAACCACTTGAAGTGGGTCAGGATGAAGTGGTAGAAGGCAGGACTGGGCTTCAGCAGGTTGTGGAGACGTGTCCAGAACTCAGCTGGGGGGAACAGAGCAGTCACTCTCCCTGCTGAGGAGCCAGCCCACCCGGAGCAGTGGGTGCTGTGGGCACAGGGCTGCCCTGGCACGCACGGGTGGCAGACGCTGGGACAGGGACTCACGGGAGGTGCAGTTGGGCCCGTAGTACCCGGTGCGGGTGCAGTCGCACTCGTATCCTCCCAGGCCGACCCTCACACACACCCCTTGGTTCTGGCAGGGGAAATAGCAACAGGGATTCACTGCAGCAGAGAGAGAGAGAGAGAGGCATCAGCATCCAGCCAGCACATCCCTGCATCCACTGGCTGCCTGCTCCTCCAGGGGGGACAGTGCCTCGGAGCCAGCCCAGCG